AACAGTGTGCCTGTCAAAGAAGGAATGACCCAGATGTGGTTTTCAATATTCTTTGGAACTGGGTTGCAAATTCAGTCAGGAACTAAGGACCAGCGTGGCAGTGTCTGCCACCCTTTGGGGCATGGATGTGATGTGCTTTCATACAGTTGCAGGATTAAAAGCATCATGAAGTACGGAAATGGACTTTGTTCCCAAAATTCAGACAGATACAAGCTCTGGCAACAGCAGAAGAAACAAAAAGGGGAGGGAAACATGTTGAAAACTGCAAATAAACAGTTATTTATAGGAAGAGGTTAGTTGATAAGAAGTGCACTGTGTGGAATTTTTACACATTGACACATTTCTATCAGCTTCATAAATCCTTCCCATTTGACTAAAAATCTTGGCTAACAGGCAAAAATCTGAGATGTGCATGCACAGCTGGGAAATGAGCTTCGCAATGCACAGGCGGTCCAAATCCCAGAGGGGAATGGCCCCACATGGGACTGGCACAGGGAAGCAGAATGACACATGGGACCTTGCAGTGCTCTCTGCAGATGAGAATCTGAAAAACTCAAGCCAAAAGAGATTTGCAGCTGCCAGCTGAATCTGAAGGAGACTTACCATAGGTAAGATTTGAAGTACTCCCACTTTAGCAGGGAAGAGACGGCTGACCTGACTGCAGACTCAGGGGTTACTTACAACACTTGTGAAGCTGAATTCATCCTTAGATTCAGATGTGCTGATAATGCAGCAGTAATGGAGACTTTCCACATAACTCATTTGAGAATTTACTCAGATACTGGGGTTTATTATTTACAAAAGACTAATGCCATTTTGTCTTTACAGACAGCTGTGCCAGGATATCATTTTCTAAGCATTGATTTGTGAAATATGTATGAGATGAATATATATATATGAAATACATAAAGCCACTGATTATGGGATAAAAAAGTAAACTTCAGGTTCCATTTACAGTACAAACCTGTCACTGTAATCAATAAAGGCCTGTTAAATATTAGCAAGGAGAGAACAAATGGGGAAACAGCACACTATGACTAAATCCTGCTTAGATTTCACTTAACTGCCAAAAAAAAATATCTGTTTTTAACCCATGGCCTCCAGGAATTAGGCATTCTGTTTGGCAGGGGCATTTCTCTCCATTATTTAAACATTTAGTCTCTGAATGCCTGCAGCAGTCTGATGGGAAACATTAGTGAAAAAAGAGATTTCTGAAAAGACCTTGCTATGTTTGGGAGATCCCAATTCAATACAGCTATGTAGAAAACGTGATTCAAGAGGGCCACATACATGCTTACATTTTTATTTGTAATCACATGCCCAGCAGGAGAATAAAAAAAAGAAGGGGGGGGGGAGGCATCTCTAAACAGAATTTTAGCGGAGAAGTGGAGAAAACTGACTGAAACTGGTAAAAAACAGTGTATCTGACCAGTATTGTCTTCTTGTTGCCTCAGGTTCCCTCTTCTGCCTCTATTGTTCCAGCTGCTATTCCTATATTTAACACATGCCCATACTACAGAGCAGAGTGCATCAGTGAGTGCCTCCAGACTAACTTTGAATCAGCTTCCCCAGCAGCACACTGAGCAGGTTGTGCTGTGCTCCATCTCCCACGCTGGGAGCCTCACCAGCAATGGGTCACAATACCAGCAGCAGGATGGTTGCTCACAGGACTCCCTGACATGAGACTGAAGCTGTGATACTGCACCTGGCAGTCAGCAGGACACAGGTCCTTTCCCTACTTGACACTAACAAAGCAGACAAACCATGTTGAAGTCCTTTCAAAATTCAAGATCTTTTCAAGAAATAAACCAGCATTACAAGATGCCTCTCTACTTGCACAGATCCTCAGCTTCAGAGAAAAACAATTTTTCAAGCTGGAATAGTCTCCATTCAGTGGTCCTCTTTGATATAACTATTAACATGATGGAGAGACTAAGTGCTCCGGGCTTAATGGGATGGCACAGCTGCTTGCCATTGCTCATTAACTACCAACAGCAACACAGGAAGCAAACCAAAGCCTTACTGGCAGGTTTTTTAATCTGTATAAATTGGCATTTAACAACTAGAGAATGTGCGCTTAGGAAAAGGAATGTGGCTAGTCAGGGTGCTCACCAGAGAGCAGGATGTTAGAAAAGAAAAATGACTCTCATTTAGTAAACTGTTGTAGTGCCACTGAACATAGCACAGCTTTACTGGTCCACATAAGCTCAGGCTTTGTCTGACAGGGCCAGATCTGTTGGATCTCCACACCTAACCAGTGAGCTATGCTACCCACACACTAATTCCTCATGCTGTCCCACAGGTTTTCCCAGTCTATCCACCTCTGCACAGACCTTTGCCAGTGCAGTTTTGCAGCACAAACATTCAAATGAAATATTGCTCACTGCTGATGAAGGACCACACTGTCATTTTTGCTCGGGTACCATGGTACTGCTCAGTCCAAGTGGGGAAGTAAGGTATGCTTCAAAGAAAAGAAAACAGGGGCAGTAAATCACAGACATTAAAAGCCTCCTTTTAAAGAGTCATCTGGACTAATTATGTGAGCTTATCCAATACTGAGTACACACTGAAAAGCTCAATTGATAAAGAAAAAAGGCTGGATCTGACAAATCCATGTGACTAAGAAAAACACGCCCTGAGGAGGCTGCCACTGCTACAGCACAAGAAAGCACATTGTGAAAACACCATGGTGTGGGCAGGAAGCAAATTCCAGAATTATGGACGGTATGTGGCAGCATACTGATTGCTCCCCAACAGGACTGCCTCAGCTCTGCACAGGCATTTTGCTTGAATTAGGCAGAAAGTAGAGAAGCAAGTTCTCCTGCAACACAGGAACTATTCTTCTGAGCAGCTGATTCATTGCCTGCATGAAATTGTCCATCATGGTTGCAGTTGTTTAGTTCCTTCAAAAAGTCTTTGTACTCCTGGGCTTTGAAACTATGGGAACAGTGAAAAGGACTTTCAAAATCAGCTGTTAAAGTGTTATATATTTACTTTAGCTCATTATAGATAAATAAGAGCTTTGTTTTTATAATATTTTTTTTTCTAAAGCCCTCTGCAAACTTTTAACTATGTAACACTAAACTTTGTAAGATTTGACCTCATTCTTCATAATAAAAACATATGGTAGGGAGCCATCTCTAAGATGAAAGGCCCATAGCTCAACCTTTGCACTATATCCAGCTGTAAAAACAGTCTTCACACTCCTCTAGAGAGCTATTGAGCAGGTTTAGCAGTAGAGTACATCAAAAGGATTTGCCTTCATGGCCCACAGTAACCGCAGCCTCGTATTAGATCATACTGGGGGAGAAACCTGAAGTGCATGCTGTTGAAAGTTCATCACACACTGGTAAGTGGAGATGGGAGCAGATTCAAGCACAGAAATAAACTTTCTGCTCCTCATGACTAAAATTTTTGTCTACATTGCGGGCTTTGCTTGGCCCAAATCTCTCCAAGTCAGGCACCCACCATTCACACCCTGGTTTCAAACGCTTAAGTAATGGCAGCATGCCCTGCCTCTGGGAAGACAAATTGTATCTGGAAATGATTGCCCTGCCTTCTGGGAGACCTGTGGTGAGACCTGGACCTGCCTCTCTTTGATCTGCAGCGACTGCCTAAATGAACAGACTCAGGTCTGCAAATGTATCTTCAATAGACTTGATGCTCTAGATCTCCAGAGGCTGAGTTACATCTGAAGTTGTGCACAGATAGCGAGTGGATCGAAAACTTAGCAGAAGTCTGTTCTGCTTATCTTGCCATGTCTTGTCTCGCTGGTCCTCAGAGCCCCTGAAGTGAAGTAACAACACTCACCATCACACTTCATACACATTTGCAGCAAAATATTATTGTGAATAGACATTAGAAGTAGGTTTTATTGGAGTGGCTGGTCTCTGAAACATGTGCCATGAATACTTATCAGGAACTTCAGGATCACTGGTGAAGGAGCATCCCCAGCTCAAACTAGATCTTGACAATGGAGACCAAATTGCAGGGTCTGTCAACCTTTTGCTCAAGTTCACTTCAAAGCAGGCAGGAATACTATTCTTTTGCTCTTATCTGGATCAAGAAAACAAACATTAAGCACAGTTCAGCCATTTAATTTTGGAAAAGCTAATTTTGCAAAACTAGAAAGTACACTGAGCTCTTTATGTTGACTGCTCTATGAACTAGTACAAAATACAAGTAAGGTGGTAAGAGGTAGTATGTGTTTTAAATCAGGTGATAGAGCTAGGAAGGAAAGAATAGACACCCTTTCAGGAAACTCACTTTATTTGCCTGGTGCTGAGCACCTGCAGACTGAGTCTCATCGCAGTGCAGAGTATTGTTTTATAGTGTGGCTTAACAAAACAAAAATTGTTTGCCAGTTTTATGTGACAGCTACTGATGCCCTGTTCAGAAACAGAAACACAGTCTACTAACTTCCTTTCTTTGTTTTAATTACTGAAACATGCTTTCTGTATTAGAACAGTTCAGTGAAGAGTGGGAGAGCTGAAACAATCACCAAATGGTACAATACTTGTTCCAAGAACACTTTACAAAAGTAGAAAATGATGATTTGGCCCAGAGGAAAAAACATAGTGAAATATAAATATGCTACATTGTTAGATCAATGAAGAAATTAATGGAGGCAATCAAGGATTATGCCTGCTCATAATGTAGTCATGACCAGGCATAAATGCACTCACAAAGGGAAAGGCAAACTTCTGCTACTGGCACAAGGACCTCATAGACAAGTATTAGCACATACCAAGATCACTTTAAGCACTTCTGATGATGAGTACTGAAAATTTCTATGGTCCAACTTAATTATTAGGTGCTAGATATCTTATATTTATCACTGTAGAATAAAAATATTCTTCTTTTAATTAATTCTAGGGTCTGTAGAAATTGTTCCCTGGGAGCTGCTAGATTGTTCCAGTACTAATTTAACACATTCCTATCTAGACTGAGCTGTCAGTATAGCTCACTGCAATACAGATGATCATATCATCCCATGAAACTGCATTGTGTACACTGTTCATTACATCAAAAGCTTTTCATCCAGGCAGTAAAACCAGTTACAGATAGCACAACATGTCCCAGAGCTTTATGAGTTCAGAGGAGATAGATAGAAAACTGCCAGGCAGTTTTCCCTACCCAGCACAGCAGTACCCTATTTGGGAAGGGAGAAGTCCTGTTCACAGATCAAAATACACAGGAGAGAAAGTAGCTTTCTGCTGACCAAGATCTTACTTATAGCTTTCACTGGAGAGATGCAAGTTGTAAAATGTGCAGTCTAGCCATTCTTCATTCATATGTAATAAACACAGATGCTTTCTTGTAGGAATCAATGACTCAAGGAAAAGTTTGTTTGCTCTCTGAGTGATTTGGGAGGGCAGAGAAGAATGCTGTTGGGGAGTACTTGGCATGAATTTACAGCCTGAAGACAACAGCCTGCAATGGAAGTTGGGAAATATTTAGAAAATTAGAAAAGAGACTGTGTTATATTGTTCCTGTCTCAAATGATGTGTGGACGGTGTTCACTTCCCTGCAGGAGGGATGGGGGTGCGTGGCTAAGGAGGGAGGCACTGGAATTTGCATGCTCCAGTCCCATTGGCTTTTGTTTTGGTACAGACGGAGGACAGAAAGCAAGGAAAGGGCACTCCTTGTAGGCCTAAAAAATAAAGAGGTGCTTTAATTAACATGAATATATTGTCTTGCATGAATTGTCTTATATTTCTAGCATAATGGCAGGAGATGGGGAGGAAGAGGAGAGGTGGAGGTACTCTTTACCGCCAAGCTCGGCAGCACAGGAAAGCACGCATTTAGAGATAACCAAAATTTTTTGCTATATTGAATTTTTATAAAGTCAAAGCTTGCCCATTTTGCAAAACATAAGCTGTCATTGTTTTGACAGGAAGGAGGGAAGAGGGTGGGGTAGGGAAAAAAGTAAAGAAGAGAGGAAGACAAAGTACATGAGAACAGGCACATGTAACACTTCCCAAAAGGTTCAGATGTTGATGAGAAGTGACATCTTGACACAACTCAGTTTAATGAACATGTTTGAAAGAGCTTGGGTTTATTTCTGTATGGAACCAAAAGATGTTTCAAGACCTCAATAGATGCCCCAAAATGGGAAAGCCACTCTCCCAAGAAGATCCAATTAGATTTGCTCCAGTGTATATCAGGCAGAATCTGAATATGAATAAGCTAACAGGCGCAGAATTTACACTCAGGTTTATACTTTGCAAACCATTATTATACTTTGCAAACCATATTATACTATGTAACCATTGTGCTACTAATTGAGAGCTCATGGACAACATACTGACCTGCACCTTTGTGGGCAGCCACCTGAGTACAAATAGATTCTTCCAAACCAGTTTTCTTAATTGCATCTTCAGACTGCTGTTTAGAGACATTACAGTAACCAGCCACCTTGGGTTCCTAAAAAGCACTGAAGAGCACAAGCAACAGAAGCTCACTAGGGTTAGAGGGTTAGAGGAGAGGTAAGCAAAGCAGCACAGTTCTCAAGTCCACAGAAACAATCAGAAAGAATCTTTCCAGCCATCTCAGTCTTCTGACTACCCAGGTGATTGGCTCTGGTACTCTCTGGGTGAGGTGGGTCATTTTCCCTGTTACTGATGCAGCCCTGTGCCTTTCAAAGAGCAGTTCTGCTCACCTGTCTGCCTGCCTTTGTGACTGATACTGGCACAGCAAGATCAGGGACCTGAAACCATAATCAGCAAGCAGGTTCTTCACAAGACTGAACAGAGAAACAGAGCATGCCATTTATTCCTGCAGATTTATTTCCCATTTACAACTGATGCAAGAAACTGTGTGAATGATACATAGCTGAGATAAATTTCTACTTTCTTAAGAAAAAAATAATAATCTCGCAGCATCATACATAGGTATTTGCCTAAAAACTCCTACTATGCAGAACATTTTTACCTCCATTGCTTAAGATGCACTGGAAACCTTAGCAAAGTTAGAATATTGGTTTAAACAAAGGGCTATTTTTTTCCTGAATATGTTGGAAGTGTAAACTTTAAGCAGCCAAACATTTAGCTGAAATGCTATGAAAATATGCTTTAAATTCCACTTACAGAAAAAAATATGCATAGACTAAGAAGAATTATAGTACTTCATAAAGTTTTGGATTCGGTTAGGATCACTTAACTTAGTTTAGCAGAAGCAGATTTCCCATAGTGGCTTCTAGTAAACCACTATCGATTATCGCAACATTACAAGAGGCCATTTTCAACTTGATTGTTTGCTTTCCAATTACAGTCAATGTTACCTTGGTTATATCAGGTTACCCTATTACAGCAGCTGTAAAACAGATCAGGGCCTTAGAAAACCTAAAGCTCAATTGGCTCTATTTCTAGAAATCCTGTATTTTGAAATCGTTGTAGTTCCAACCATACAGGGCAGCTCAGGCCAGAACACAGTGGCTATTGGAAAGGAGCCATATTTTCATCCTCCTCACCTACCACTTGCTGTAGCAGTCCCAGGCACGTGGTAGGAGGAGAGCTGGAAGTACCACGCAGGAGGTTACAGAGCAGATTGACTTTACATGACTCAGCATCAGTATAGGCCACTGCTTAAGAAGAAAGTCTCACTGGTAATATCTAAGCATCTAAAATGTAAAGCCAGAAGGAGTCAGATATGTGCACTTGCTTTTCAATGCCCTGTGCCATATGGCATTGCTGCATGAGCCTTCCTGTCTCATAAGCTGAGTGGAAGCAGGCATGTGTGTAACTAATGCATGTACTCATCATGTCCTGCTCCTGGGAGCAATGCCAGATTCAAGTAACTGATACTTCCAGTAGCCCATTTCACCCCACTTGTGTGATCTGTGGGAATTATTAGGGTCATGTTTGCACAAGCCAGTCTGCAACAGAAGGCCAGCCAATGCTTATCTGCTCAGAAACTGGAAGCCGTTGAGCTGGTAGGCACCAGAACTCATTTGCTCTGAAAATCGGCACTGTTAGATGCAGATCAGGTCAGGTCAATACCCCTAAGTTCAATGCCAGTCTACATCATGGTCAGACTAGAGCAGACAGTCTTGCTAAATTTGATAACTTACTTCATCATGTCTACTCTGTAATTTAATTTCCATGTTAACCCCCTCCTTACCGTAGTTAAATGATGCCTGAAATACTCATTTGACTGAATTCCGTGTCCTCCACCCCTTAGCTATCATAATGGCTTGTTATTAAATATGGAAAGGGTTAGAGTTAACAAAGGGAGATGGGAAAGTTTCCAGGATATGCACCTGTCTATTGCACACTAATTGGGTCAGTCATGCACTGAGAGACTAATGTGTGTAATGTACTGGCTGGTGTCTTTCAAAGCATTATAAACCTACAGTCACATTAGGTGTAAGTGCTATTATGCCCAGAAAGAGCTGTGCAAATCCTTGTGTGAAAAATCTGAGCATCTTCTAAAAAAGACCAGAGAAATTGTCTTCTGCTCTGTTCACATCTTCTCATGCACTTCTCCTGGAAACATTCACCCACCTATTTAATGAGGCTAAAAGATCTGCAAAGAAGTAGTTTGTACTTAACCCACACAAAGATTTTACATTCTATCTCACTTAAGTTGCCACACAAGTAATCTGCTTGTAATTATACTCTTATACTTGAGTGCAAAGGAACAGTATCTCTTACCCGACCCAAACTTTCAGCCCCAAGCTACAGAGCTTCTGCTTTGCATTCTCAGCTCTGAAGTCACAGGGCCAACAAAAGTCAGGAACAAGTTTGTGAAATCATTTTGATTGATGACAGCAAGTTTGTTCACAGTCCATTGCCTCACCAAGCAGTAGGAGGTGTTTCACCAGTTATGAGTCAGTATCTGTAGCTGGAACTAGATGCTTAACGGCAGGTTAATACAAAATACAAAAGGATCACCAAAGACTAAAAAATCACACTAACACTTTCAACAATAAAAACGTGGCCACAGGCAAGGGGCACTGATATCACTAAGAGTGTTCTTGCCATATATCCCACAAAAACATTTCTCCAGACTAGCATTGGATGTCCTGACTTTTTTAGGAACCTGCCAGCAATCAGGAATCTCAAATGTTTATTTGGGGTTGGGATTATAGGGCTCAACTCCAGTATTCCCTAACGTGAACAGGAGCACACAGCAAGCATCAGTTGTCTTAAACTATTCCCACGCAAACTGGCACATGGACACTGGTGGTACTCTTTGAGATGCATCTGAAAGCAAAAAGTGATGTAAGCCTACATCATCATAGGAAATTAGTTGTCTAGATGGACATCAGGTTCTGTTTCAAATGGGTTAGTAAGCCCTTAAGGAACAAATAGTACATTTACCCTTAACTGCTGTACTTCCTGAAAAGATCAGAAAAGAAAAATGATCCCACTTACTGGCCATGCTTCCTTACAGATCTTGCTTTCTAATGACCCACATTTTCTGGCACAGTTGCCTTGGCAAAATTCAGTGTTTTCAAATACTTACAACAGATGCACAGTCACAACATTTTCCATCATACTCACATTTAGATACAGATCTCTTCAATTTTCTCTTAAGGAATGGATTGTAGGTGTTATCTTTGTTTATGGTTTAAAACTTGAAAAACAGTCAGGTGCAACTTTTGCCTAGAGGGACTCAGCACCTGAATACATGCATAGATTTCAATGGAGCACTAGGCATTATCGCATGTTTTACTTGTATATGCCTGCTCAGTTCTTCCACCTTTAGCATGGAATATCCATTGGCTCTGCTATCATCGGCACAATTTAGCAAATAAACCAGCAGATAGAAACCTGCCCACTTTACTGTGAAGCCTGAGAGATCCACATCAGTTTGATGATTCCTGGAGCATCCATCTTGAGAATGTTCTCATCTGTCCAGGTTTTGAGCTGAGATAATCAGACTAAACATAGTACATATTGTATTGGCTTTACACTGGAGCAATTCTTCCAGCTGAAATATAATAGCTAGAACACATATTTGAAAAAGTGGTCTATCTGGAATGATGATCTGTTCTAGTTTGCCAGTACCCACCCATATAAAATGTATGTGTCAACCATCCTTTCGCATTTATTGAAAGAGAATTTACCACAGTTATTTATAAAGAATCCGCTAAATGAAAAGCCCATTCATTAAAGTACACCCTTAATTCATTTCAGGCTTTTTCATGCCCTGTCATGTTATGGATATTCCTATTTCACAATCCAAGCAGGCAAAACAGAACAATCCATCCTTTGGTTCTCCAGAACATTCACATGACCTGATGACAAATATCCATCATGGAAGAAATAAGAGCTTTCACATGGTGCCTGAAAAAGAAATGTTCAAATGGATTCATGTTAATAAACAATTTAAGTTACTTCAGACAAATATGTGCTCTCATCAGGAAATAAAACACCCATTTTGTTTTTCAGCTACTCATTAGAAACAACAAAAAAGGAGAACTTACTGAATTCAGAAACACCACCAACACCCTTTTTCCCCCTTATGTTTGTAAATAGTCTGCAGCAAGTGTCCCACATACACTGAACAAAGCTGCTGATCACTGCCAATAAATGAGACAAACGGCACTACAGAGAAAAGCTTAGACTGAAAAGGAGGAGATTGACCCTTCCATCATACATCATCTGAAAGAGGGCTGTTGCTGATTCCTGAAAAAGCAGAACAGGACAAAAGAGCAGCTTTTCCTCATTCTTGGGGCAAAAGGCTTTCAGCACAGCTTGTATCTCTACCTTTCACTCAGAATGCATGGCTAGAGTGTGCAGAGCTGTCACTCCTTGCTACTTGCAGAGCTGTGCAGCAGATTCACATCACCCCATGTCAAGCGACTCAAAAATGCAATATAATAATTAACAGAACAACGATGAAAACCGATGATGGGTTTAGAGTATTTGTAAGAAATGTCTTCTCTCCTCCTTTATCTTCTTTTCCCTTTCTCAGTTTCCAAATTGAATATTCCTTGGTGCTAACAGCTTTTGGGCTTGACCTTTTAAACCTCTGCATAGGATGTTTTAAGCTCTCATGTGTAAGTATACTATATCCCTTCAGGGGTTCAGCCATGAGGACATTGCTTCTCTATACACAGCAGGGCAGCAACCCATATGTTGAGATGGGAATCTCTGTATTAGAAGAAAGTACATAGCAAAACTTTGGTTTCATATACACTCCACTGCTGAGCGTCCAGCATTTTCTCTAAAAATCATTTTTATTTCCTTTAATTTGTCCTACAGTTTTCTCCTTTGAAAACCCATTGGCAGGAAAGTGGAGCAGAAGTACAATAAACAAATATAAGAATAGCAGAAGTGTCTTGGTACCTTTTTTGGTCCTTATCTTTAAGAAGTTTTACAGCATATTTTGAGGTCAACAGGAGGGTACTTATTAATCAGATTGGACAGTGTTACTTAAGCAAAACAACTAATCTTACATTCATTTTTACTTTGACTCATAGTGGTTAATATGGAAATAGACTCCTCTTGCCCTGACTCACTCTTTAAATTGATTAAAAGACAAGGGCTTGCTCTACCACAAAGGGATACAAAAGTCAGATAAGCCAGTCCAGAGGCAGCAAAATTACCTCCTGTAATTTTTCCCTTAGAGGACATGCCCAAAATGGCCCCTACCACAATTGTTTCTCTTGAACTGTTTGCAGAAGATGATGCAGAGGATGCCCGTCTGACAATCTCTGGCCAAACGTCTATCACACAACTTAGCACTCATTACTTGCCAATGCACTAACAGTCACATTATGGGAAATTTGCCTCACATTATGGGAAAAGAGACTGTGCAACATAAATGGGAGGGAAAGGGATGTCTAGCAGATTCAAGCCCACTGGCAGAGGTGGTCTTGGTTTCTCAGCTCAACTCCCCAGGGAAAAAAGGAAAATTACTTCAACGACTTCATTACATCCATCAGGATTACAATTAATGACCTCAGGTGGGAAGCATCAGCTCACAGGGAGCCTAAATCTTTTGAGGAATACAAGAAGAAGGTTAGAAATGCATATGAGTTACACAAACTCAATGAAGAATTTATTGCAACAGCATTGTTCTTTTTCTCTCTGTTCCCCTGCTCTCCCTCCACTCCCTTCTCCTTACTATTAAGTCAGCTAGAAATGGAGGCAAAGCAAGGCTTGCAGCACTCCAGAAACCTGTGTTGCTGCTGCCAGCAGTGAGATAGGATGAAAAATGCAGTTATGTAGCTTTATGAACGTTTTGCTCACACAGGAAATTAAATCAGCAAAGACATCATGTACTTTAGGACATTCTAAATAGCAGTATTATCTATAAAAGGAATGAATGCTATTACATTAATTCCCCTTCTAAAGGTAGTACATTTCATCTCCTTTGCCTCATCGGTATACCTATAAACCCTCTACTATTTACAAGTAATAAAGTGCCCAAATATCGTTCAGGTCCTAAACTCCATTTGGTACAGAGGAAAGAGGAGGCAAAGCTGTGTCCATCTGCTCCTTGGAAACATTAAGGTCTAGTTAGGATTTAAGTTCATTCCTCTTTCTTAACCTCTCATGCAACCAGTCACCAGGAGGGGAAAAAAAAAGGAAACCCACAAAAAAAAACAAAAACAAAACAACAAAACCAACAAAAGCTGCAATAAGCTGACTTACCCTGTATTAGATTTTTCTCTGAGGTTTTTACACAGCCAGCTGACTGGAGAGTTCCTTAGGCAGCTTCATATCTCTGCCATGCAGGAGCTAATGAGCTTTTCAGCATGTCCCAGGTGCTTTACTATAAAAATTAAGATATTATGAGAAAGATAGCTTACATAATCTTTTAAATATTCCTTAAACCAACACTTCACACTTCCTGCCAGGTCAGAGAAGGAAGAAACTAGAAAGAAATAATCTGATTAGTAAATCCATTGAATCTTCTTCTTTTTAACAGTTAGACTCTACTAACAGTACATGTGATATTTGAATGTGAATCTCTGCTACATACATACCCATATTATATATACATAACATGCATATAATACATATGTAGGGCAATGCATGTGAAGGTCATTTCATGTCCATGAAATAATGGGCCACGAGGATGACTGGGGACTGGAGCACCTCCCGTAGGAAGACAGGCTGAGAAAGTTGGGGCTGTTCAGCCTGGAGAAGAGAAGGCTGGGTGGAGACCTCATAGCAGCCTTCCAGTATCTGAAGGGGGCCTATAGGGATGCTGGGGAGGGACTCTTCATTAGGGACTGTAGTGATAGGACAAGGGATCATGGGTTCAAACTTAAACAGGGGAAGTTTAGATTGGATATAAGGAAGAAATTCTTTCCTGTTAAGGTGGTGAGGCACTGGAATGGGTTGCCCAGGGAAGTTATGAATGGTCCATCCCTGGCAGTGTTCAAGGCCAGGTTGGACAGAGCCTTGGGTGACATGGTTTAGTGTGAAGTGTCTCTGCCCATGGCAGGAGGATTGGAACTTGATGATCTTAAGGTCCTTTCCAACCCTAACTATGATTCTATGATTCTATGAAATCAGTTTCAACTTTGAGAGAAAAAACATACCCTGTTCTTTCATCCCTGTTCCTGAAGATCCCTCATTGGCTTTACATCCCCGCTGTCCTAAAGGATATTTCTTTCAGAGTCAATCGTGCTTACATATCATGTGGTTTCTCCTCACCTGACCCATTATACTGTGAAGGATGTTTACCAAAGACGGATGAGACTTGTGTAGCCCCTCACATTATTAGCTGACATGTTAAAAATCATCAGTGACTACAGCTATTGCTGTGACTGGCATCCCAGCTGTCATTTATTTCTGGGGGCTCTAGAACTAGGCATGAGAGAAGACATCCCTTCATTTAGAAAGCAAGCTCTGCAGAGAGGATGTAGTACTCTTCCACCTGACTGATCCAGAGAGAACAAATAAAAGATGCTCTGATCCCAGTGGGTGACAGCCAAAAAGAGGAACACAGTGATGTTACAGGGGACTAGGAGTTCAGCCAAATGGAGAAGCAGATGAACTCATGGACAAAAACCATTCTGTCTCCACGTAAGGTCTGTGTAATCAAAAACAAACAGAAAGAGGAAGGACAGTGAAGACATTTGGGCAGAATCATTCAACAGGGCTGCTTTCAATGGAGTCAGCAAGTCTTTAATAACATTGGTATTCTCAAGCTGGACACTAAATAATTATCAGAGTTCAGTGTATACTTTTCTAGATGGTTTTAGTCCTCCTATCCACTTGAGCAATGAGCTATTACTTGCTCATATGTTATCATGTTAACAATTCAATATGGATCTTGTTACACTTGCTGGGGAATTTCCCAACAAAACAGATTTTTGTCTAGAAACTATTGACTGGTCAAAACCAAGAAGTTTTGGCCAAACTGTAGTGAAAGGCAGGAGTTTTTCTAGAATTCATCCTGCCTCTTTTCCTTTGGGAATATGAAGCTATCAAAGATTCCAGGTTCTCAGCTTCTGGGGAATTTCACCATAATCAGCACTAACTCATCCACCAAGACTCAAGGTTCAGGCTCCTTGCCCGTTGATTTAGGAGCCTAAGAGAAGAAGAAGCCGAAGAGGCTCTCCTCAGCTACTGTTTCTCTATCAATTTTTCCTTCTCTGTCCATTTGCCTCATATACACCTATACAATAGCAGCACAGATGACCAGCTTATTTCACATTACATTTCACCTTCTCAGGTCTGCATTTAGGTTTAAGTACAACCCATGTTGCTAAAAATAACAAAGAAGCTACAATAAATCTAAAGCAAGAAGCTTTCTACTTGGGAGGAGGTTACCTCCCAAGACAGCGCAGGATGGAACACACTTCTCATTTTGCTTTATGCCAGTGTAATCTTTGTTGCAGATATCTGAGGAGACAATTTCTGCTTCTCTAGATGAAAATTAAAATGCGATGGGCAATATGCTGGGCAAAATAAAACTGGAGTCACATTATGCAGCGTTAAGGCAAACAGACTCTTTGTTAGACATGCTGTTGAAAGAACTGGGATGAGAATTAGAAGTGTTTGAAGACTTTCCCTCAGGGTTTAAAAGAACACGTTAAAATGGATTTGACTTGTGCCATGAAAAGTACAATACCTAGTGCCCTACGAGAAGACAAACAGTAAATGAAAGCTGTACTATGCTTGGGCATCTCAGATGAAACAGAGCAAATATAGAGCACATAAATGACGTCCACGTAATTGATCATTAATCTGAAAGGAGAGGAGTACTGTTCATCATTCATTTACTTCAACCTGTTTCATCAAAATAAATCTACACTTTCAAGAGCTTGACGTCTTTGGATAAGAAAACATTGTGGTTTTAAACAAAGAAATCCCACAGATCCCAATTTGACACATGCTAATGAGTGGCAAATAGCAAACACAAGTCTTTGATGACCTAAGAATTTGAATAAATAAATGTCACACGGGGAAAACAGCGGGGGCTTCAGCATTCTTAATTGCTTTCAGATTATACCAAGGAAAAAGAGATGTCCAGATTTTGATCTGAATAAAAAATTGGTAACTTTACACAGCTATGCACTTTGTGTTGATATTTTCGTAGTATTAGTAATAGTAGTAGCAGTAGTGGTAGTAGTGTTATTATTTTAATTCCTGTTCTCAGATATTGATATAAAATTCAAAGAGAAGAATAGGAAGTAAAAATTACCACCTTGGGATCAAGAAAGGATTTTAACCCTTACTACACATACAGCATTGATACAATAAAAATCATTTGCTTAATAACATCATTGCTGTATAAAACAGAGTGACCACAAGCCATTTGGTAATTCTTCTAACGACTGTAGCAGCTCTCCTCACATCACTTGTTAAGATGTGAAGCTAAAATGCACAAACCAAAGATCCTAAACTGGCTTCTACTGATTTGTCAGGTGGCATCAAATAAACAATGAACACTTCAAGTGAATTTCCCAAATTGTAAAGGAGAATTGGTGTTTGAAAAAAGTACCCACATTGGAATGTTTTTCAAAAACCGGCCAATTTCAATATCTCTTTGTTGCCCTCTTCCCCACCCCCCAAAAAGCAGGAAACCAAAGTTTTATAATCCCAACATTTGAACACATTGTTTAAAAAAAAAAGAAAAAAAAAAGCAGTTTTAGCTAGATAGCATTAATATTGCAGTTTTTAAACTGGAGGAGACCTTTTAATCTATTTATCCATATGGCGTCCAGGAGATACAGCAAAGCACTGTTATCCCCATCTGCCAGGTTAGCTGATTCAGGGAAGCCATCCCTTGTCAGCTTACACCCTTGGCTGAGTTGTGCACCCAAGATCCCAGCACAAACAAGAGGGAAGGTCTGGAGGTTACTGCTCAGCAGCCACCTAACCCTGTTTGCGCTCTGGGTATCACTAGTGCTCATTTAATCTTTCTGCTCATTTAATCTTTCACCAAACCACTGGGGCCATGGGTCTCTGGGGATGCTCCTAAAGCACAATTCTTGCCCTGGCAGTTCCTGGCAATTACACCAGAGCTAAGCCCTGAGCAGCCAAAAGTTCAAGGGCAAAGATATCCTCCCAGCAAGGGGCCAGTAGCCATTATCATGGCTGCAGTACCTTCCCAGGATGAGGAACACCTTGCTCTGAGTTAAGCAAAGAAAAGAATGGAATTCCTCTCTCAGTCATCTTGGACATTTTTAATTCAACTCAGCAGCTATTCATGCATGTGGTTTGATACCACACCTCTGCATCTGAGCAATCAACCCACTTCAGGAAAAAGTGTTGACAGACAGGAATCTTGTAAAGTAAATATCCACCTCTCATGAGGCCAGTTAAGCTGGTGCCTAAAAAATTCCCTGCATATTATTCACCTTGCATAGGAGAGCTGCACTTCATGGCTTGAAGTGGCCATGAAGAAGTCAGGTCTTGCAGTGCTGAGAAGAAAACCTGCATGTAAGCCCTGAGTGGTTTGCCAATAGTAATAGGAAAAAGGTGATTGAAGGTGAAGCAGGGACATAAAATAGGTGTTCTTGAATTTGCTCATAAAGTTTGATTTTCCAGCCCCTGGACTGTCCTCACTGCTGGGCTATATAGAGTTTTGAAAGGAGATAAGAAGCATTTATGTCATGACCAACTAAGATGGTTTTTATCCAGGAATATGTTCAAAATGTCTTCTCTCAACCGTCTGGCAATTGGATGAGCACACATGGGGTGGGAATGTTAATCCACGACATTACCTTCCTTGAACTGATATAACCTCAGCATCTACAGTAAGAGAGTCTGATTTATGAAGAAAGATTAAAACCGTTAAATGTGTTTAGCTTAGCCAAACAACTTCTAAAGTGAGAGGTGGCTGTAAGCATTAAACAACTTGGAAGGCATAAAAATTGAGTAAGGAAATTAACTGGTTGGGTTAATCCAAAGGAGTGGAAATTATCCCATGTGGTGCTTAAGTGCAGTCAATTTTTATACTAACTTATACACATTAAAAATTGCAAAAAGCCCCATTTTCACTCACAACTACCATTAAGACATGTACTGCTAGAGTAAAATAATGATTTCTAATCTTCAGTGACCAGCTTACAAAAGGCATCAATACAGGCATGTGTATTGCAGAGAAGAGAGAGGGAGGAAGGAAGGGAGGTAGGAAGGAAGGGATTCTGCTTCTGGGACAGTATACTCAGTCATTAAAGGCCCAATCTGCTGCCCACATCTTTGTCATCCAAAGCAAAATGGACCACATTCATTTCTCATTGCAACTTCACCACATTTCACAGCTCTGTCTGCTCAAACCCCAAAGGTTTTTGATTCAGCACTGAAGCAAACATCTTCATGAGCAAGTAGCAAGTGCTTTCCTCTATCCCATCACACTATTCCAGGCTTTCTTTTCATTTTCTCATGCTCTAATCTAATTTCATGTTGTAGTTCACAGAATCATAGAATGGTTGAGGTTGAAATGGGAAATAAGCAGGAGGAGTTGGAAACCTGTGTTAAGTCAGGAGACTATGATCTGGTGGCAATTACAGAGATGTGGTGGGACAGCTCACATGGCTGGAATATAGTCATGGAGGGCTGTGTCCTTTTCAGAAAAGACAGGCCAGCCAGGAGGGGTGGTGGGGTTGCTCTTTATGTGCGGGAGCAACTACAATGCACCGAGTTCTGTCCAGGGACAGATGACGAGCGAGTTGAGAGTCTGTGGGTGAGAATTAAGGGGCAGGCTGGCAGGGGCGATACTGTTGTGGGTGTCTGTTACAGGCCACCAGATCAGGGTGAGGAAGTTGACGAGGCCTTCTACAGGCAGCTGAGAGCGGCCTCACAGTCACAGGCCGTGGTCGTCATGGGGGATTTTAACTTCCCTGATGTTTGCTGGAAGGACCACTCAGCAACCCAGCCACAGTCCAGGAGGTTCCTCCAGTGTATGGATGATAAATTCCTCCTGCAAATGGTGGATGAGCCGACCAGGAGAGGAGCGCTGCTGGATCTCATCCTCACTAACGAGGAGGATCTGGTCGAAGCAGTAAGGGTTGAGGGCTGCCTTGGTTGCAGCGACCACGAGATGGTGGAGTTCAGGATCTTGTGTGGTAGGACCAGTAGAATAGCAAGTAGAATTGCAACCCTGGACTTTAGCAGGGCAAACTTTGGCCTTTTCAAGCAATTGCTAGGGGACATCCCATGGGCAAGGATGCTTGAAGGTAAAGGGGCCCAAGATAGTTGGTTGACCTTCAAGGACTGCTTTTTCCGTGCTCAAGATCGGAGCATCCCGACACGTAGGAAGTCAAGGAAGAGGGCCAGGAGACCTGCGTGGCTAAATAGGGAATTGCTGGGTATGCTCAAGTGGAAGAGGAGAGTTTACAGGTCATGGAAGGAGGGGCTGGCCACTTGGGAGGAATATAAGGCTGCTGCTAGAGGATGTAGGAAGGCAGCTAGGAGGACTAAGGCCTCCTTAGAATTAAACCTGTCGAGAAGGGTCAAGGACAGCAAAAAGAGCTTTTTCAAATACATGGCAGATAAAACTAACACCAGAGGCAATGTAGGCCCGCTGATGAACGGGATGGGTGCCCTGGTGACAGAAGATACAGAGATGGCAGAGTTACTGAATGCCTTCTTTGTCTCTGTGTACTCTGCTGCAGGCAGTCCTGAAGAGCCCTGTACCCCTGAGACCTCAGATGAAGTCAGGTCAATGGAGCGGTTTGCCTTAGTCGATGAGGAATGGGTTAGAGACCAGTTGAGCAATCTGGACGTCCATAAATCCATGGGTCCAGATGGGATGCACCCGCGGGTGCTGAGGGAACTGGCGGAAGTCATTGCTAGACCACTCTCCATCATCTTTACCAAGTCTTGGGAAACGGGAGAGGTGCCTGAGGACTGGAGGAAAGCAAATGTCACTCCAGTCTTCAAAAAGGGCAAGAAGGAGGACCCGGGTAACTATAGACCGGTCAGCCTCACCTCCATCCCTGGGAAAGTGATGGAACACCTTATCCTTGGTGCCATCTTAAGGCATATCAAGGATAAGAGGGTTATGAAGGGCAGTCAACATGGCTTCACCAAGGGGAAATCATGCTTGACCAATCTCTTAGCCTTTTATGAGGAAATAACAGG